CAATAGTTTGTCTGTCGAATTTTATGCATTTATATCAAAACATATCTGTCAGAGGAGAGTGAACCTTATGTATCTGTAATAGATGTCAAAGTATGTGTAATATAATTTTTGTGCATTCACTCCTAGCGTCACTATCTCGACAGTAGCTTGTCACTCACATGCTTTTTACAAAATCTATTTCGCCCGAGGACGTACAAAAGATGAACGGCCTTTTTCCTATTTCCAAATGTTAAACATGTTTTAAAACTTTATATACAAGTTAATAAGACCGTGTATTATATTAATATATGTCAGTATGACAATCCGTCTACCTGCAATAACAATCGGCGGGGCATATTAATGATATTATCAAAAACCCATCGTTACGCTCGTTAGTCCCGACTGCAAAATGGGGAATTAAAATTGCATCCAATTGAGTCGGTAACGATAATTATCAGTAATTAGAATAAACGAGTAAGGCTGGGGCCGGAGACTATCGTTTTGTTTTTACTTAATACACAAATTAACTAACTTATTGTACACTAATAAACTATTATTTAGATTAAAGACGAATTCACATGAATAAGAGTGGAAAATATATCATATATCATCCACAGGTTGCTCCGAAATGTACAAAACGCAGCTCCAGAGTTTGTCCAGTGATTGTGAGGCGATATCGACGCTATAAAGTGTGTTGCAATACGGACCCTTGTCCACAGTCGGCCGGCGTCGTAACTTGCGCCGTGCGGTTTGAGTTGAGGGAACTATATGGAGGTGTTATAACACTATTAATATGAAACAACATATAAACAGTACATTTTCACGACCCAAGCATTTGTATTAAAGCTTGAGAACCCAAAAAAAAAAGTAAGACGTAGTGCAATTATACTTTAATTTCGGCTGAATAAGAAACAATGCCAGGGTAATACAATGCGTACAATTTTTGTACAGAAAATGAGCAATTTCGGATGAAAATATCTCATACACGTGTTTCGTATGTTATTGTTTTAGTTGGGTGTAATTATCTACTGTGTTTTAATAAGAGGAGCTCTTATATTGTATTTTTATTTGAACCACACCGCTCTGTACAGTACCGGTCAAACCGTCCAATTAAAACAAGCCAAGTAGACGTCGGCCATCTTAAATCTGCAGGCGTGTATTGGCAATATCTGGCGCACCTATTGCACGCGCACCCTGTACATCGTGGATTTAGAACCGAATGTGAACACGCTGTTTGCATATTTGAAATGCATACTTACATGCTGTAATTTTGTGCATTTTGTTACCAAACTAGGGATTTACAATTAAAATTATCAACTTCAATACTTCTTATATTCGGAATTGTTCAAATACAAATATTAAGCGATCTAATTTAATATAATCTTTAACAACTAATACATCTTGTTTTCACATTAAAAATTTATATAGGAATTAATGAATGAAACTAATATATAATAACTATAAACTACATACTCCCGACGTCAAAAATAAAAAAAAAAACATAGTCATAGTCAAAAATAAAAAATCGTAGTAAATCCGGAAATATTAGTTTCATTTAAATGAGTACTCGCGAAAATCTTAGATTTCATTAGTAATTAATGATTTTTCCTTCATAATTTTAAATCCTAGTCACATATCCTAAATAAGTATAGTGTTAGAGACTCCCTTGTAATTTATATTGATCGCAGTCAATACCGCGGATAGTAATGACTGCACTAAATATGATTTAATGATAATGAACCGAAGGACGGCCGACCCGCTGATTCATATGAATGGACCTCCGATAATATTGAAGAAAATTATTATTGTTTTAATGCGAATATTATTTAAAAATCCCATCAAAATCTTATATGTATAATAAATTTTGACTTGTCGACTAATAAGTATTTTTATAAAATAACTAGCTGATCTGACAAACGTTTTTTTGACATAAAAAATAAAATAGGGGTTGGTGATAAAAAAGTAAAAATTTTGGGTTGTACGTATTTTTAATGCTATATATTACAAAAAATTAAGAGCAAAAAATTTCGTCAGCAAATAAAAAAAAAATTAGGGGGAACAACTCTTATGACTTAGGGGTATGAAAAATAGATGTGGGCTGATTCTACGACCTACTCAATATGCTACCAAAATTTCATCAAAATCGGTCCAGCCGTTTCGGAGGAGTTCTCTGTCTAACACCGCGACACGAGAATTTTATATATAAGATTACAGTAGATGACACGTACTAGAGAAGTCTAGAAGTAAAGTAAAAGAACACGGACAGAACTGTTTAGATATTAATAAAGCGGTATCAGAATCCATTGATAATACATATTTTATCGTACATTAACCGTTTCGTTAAAATCATCCGCGGACCGTTTCGAGTTATAACGTCAATCTAACTCAAATTTAATGATTGTACATAAACATTAATATCCCGATCTAAATGTTTATGTTTTGTTTAATCCAATAATAACGATGTATATTTTTTTCTAAACAAAATTTCGGTAAGAACTATATTATTAATAATAATTAATTCTTTACTGAGCCTTGATATCAAAGACAGACATTTCTGGCATTGACGCTAATAATTACATGTACATATATATGTAGTTTTCCGTGTCTAAATTTAATAATTACGAATGTATCGAAAATACTTTTAAATTATCCACATAATATATTTACCATAATTTTACATTCATAAAAGAAAAGACTTTATTATATCATTCTATAATAATATTGAAAGTTTTCAACAAAAACAGCTGTAAAATTATAATATTTACGACCAAAAGCAGGCGTATTTATCACGATATCGGCCAAAATTATCTGGCTAAGCCATAACTAGAACGCGATCATCAAAAACTACCGTACAGAGAACTATAAATCAAAACTCAACAACGACTACGATGATTATATTCGCAACGGGACGATAATGGCGCGGCCGTAATGAGTGGGCGCGAATTGCTGTTTTGATTTAATGACGTGGATTACAATCAATATGGACGGACGGCTGTTTTATATATACTTACACACACAGACACACAAACATACACACACACACACGAGACATGACAGTTAAAATAACATTCATACGGTGCTGGTGTGACAGTTAACTGATAAGGGCTTGAATTTTCAGTTCACTCTAAGTGTAGTCTAGTAAAAACCGTTGAGTGTATAATTAAAATTAAGAGGTAGAACATGTTAGTACTCTAGAATCTAGATACTATTTTATTTTACGAAATGTAAATATCAATGACATTTTAATCACATACCTAAAAAAATTATTTCAATGCAAATAATTTATTACAAAATAAGTATAATAATGGGTGGTATTTATAATTTTAATGAACATCGTGTTTGAATATAAACACTTAGGTGTTTTTCGACACCTCTTAGTGAGATAATATTTCGTTACCGCAGCTGTTACTTGGTCGTTGACACTTTCACGGGGATGCTGTAAATTCATAAAACATTAAAATTTATATTATATCAACGTCCGTAACAGAATTATCTTAGAAAAATTATATTAACTTATGTACGGCTAGAAAATAAATCCAATAAATGATATATAACAAGCAATATATATAAGAATAATGGCATATATAACTGTATATATCATATGTAAGCCACTTAAGAAAACGGGGCCAACAGTCCGTAACACAATAAACCAATAAAATACGAATATAAATAAAAATAACTGCCCCAAAATAAATAAGTTCCACGCAAGTATATCAGGGACTCAGGCGTCGCGTCAGACCCTGAGTTATAGCGTCACACAACATAAAATATACAACAAAAAACTGTTGTTCTTCCAACAGTTTTGTCCCGTATTAAGAACGAAAGTACACACAACAAGGATTTGGTTAAAAATCTATGGAGTCGACGTTTACATGAAAAAAAATTAACAAAATATATTCAACAATCACGTATTTAATATAAAAAAATATAATTACTAATATTATAATTGAAGTAGTAATTATAATCAAATATATTTGTCAATACAAATCAAAGTTAATATTTAATTAATACATACATTTAATATACAACGCATACTTAAAAAAAGTACATTAAATTTATTTTATAAGTATAAACCATAGGTCGTCTCCACTGTATGTCTACACTAGTACGTTAGCTCTGTTCCACACACAACTCGCAGGGGGTGATTCTTTATTTTTATTGTTTTTTGTTATTATCATTCTGTCCCCGGATTACTGTGTATGATACACAGCCGTACTGGATGCGTTTAATTGCCGGACGGTTTGGAGTAACAGATAAATAAGATTAAGGAGATATAAGGCAATAACGTTTACATACTGTGTATTAAAAATATGCTTGATCGCATACGTCATTGAAATTACTTAATACTATTATAGTATAAAGCTACATGATATTTTGAAGGTTGCCGACTCGCAAAATACGAGCGTTTATAATTTTTTACTCGATATTTTCTATTCAATTAATTATGTTTAATTATGATCATTCAATATTCCCTTCTTTAAGAAAAACATAATTATACTAATTATAACATTGTTTTAAACAAATGCCAATATTTTTTTTGTAATACTTAAGATGAAGTCATTAAGTAAGCAATAAATAATTTTGATGTAATATAATTATATACATACATATGTACGTTCATATAATATGAGCAGATATAACAATCAAAGCAATGTGTTTAGTTGAAACAAATGTATGATATTCGTTGGTCGTTACCGTGAAATACTGATTCAATTATAAACTGTACGAGGGTAGGCTGTAACACGTACAAGGAACCTACTGATAAGTTTAAATATTGTAGGTAATACGATTAAAATTAACTAGAACGACATAAAGATTAATTAATACAGTCATTAAAGTTCTGTTTCATTATTACAGCTTACAAAGTAAATAGAAGTAACTATTTGTAAACAAATTATTGACAAAAACAAAACAATTATTGCTAATTACGAATTCGTATTATTCACTACTTATAATAAGAAACACAATAATTTCAAATTCAGTTTAACATTTGCATTCGAAGTGACAACATACGATCTATCATGAGTACTCTTATCGACGCAGACGCCATATTATCAGAAAACGAGTATTGGAAGAAATTAGAAAAAGAATGGAAAGCAGTGGACTTAGAAAATGAAATAGAAGATGACCTGCCGATGATGAAACCAGTATTCAGTACATTGGATTTAAAAACAACATTCGATTCATCGTTTCTATTCAAGAAAGTTACAAAGAAAATTGGGAGACAACTCTCAAAGAAATCGACGGGATCGGCTTTGGACTACAAAGATTTCATCAACAATCTGAAAGACGATCCTCAAAACGATTCGTCCAACCGTTTTTATTTCATCAACGGGCAGATAACTTCGGCGGCTTCGATTGAAGACATATGTCATAAAATAGATGACATCTTCAAATCTATTGAGCAGCTGTCTTCAGCGACTAATACGATGAAGAAGAAAGATGTTCCTGATGTCGTACAATGCAGTATATCAGCGACGGATCTGTCTTTCGACGACACACTATCAGAGGAAGATAATATTGATAATAGTGACATAGATAGACATATTGAAGAGGCATTTGAAGAGTTCAGTGAGACCATGTCCAATCTTAGTGTAGAACAGTCTTTGGATTCAGTCACCACGTTGGTTAGGAAGTTTAGCAACGTTTTGAATAGTCCAAGTATTCAGTGTAGTCCGAGAAGAAGAAGGGAATGTTGTGATAAGTTTAGGGAATTAGCAGAATTTTGGCAGAATCGTGCGTTTGATAAGTAAGAGGGTGGGTAGGTAATTACTATTATATAAGTATTTTATTATTTAACTATTACTAATAATATCGTTTAAGTTTTGTTTTATTATTAACTGTACATGAAGTACTTAGTGCATTAATTATAATTAAATGTATTTTGAATTTATGATACGGATAATTTTATGTAATTAAATAAATCTTACTTAAGCTATTTTGTTTTTTATTTATTAACAATCAACTTAAAAAAACGTAATATTTAAGGTAATTTTCCCCTCTTTATAGTACATACACACTCAAACTTGATTATAAAAAACTTAAATATTTTTCTGAATATATATATGCAAACGTTGTTAAAGACATATAAAATTGGAAAAGGTTTTTAATTTCTATTTCATTCATTTAACTCTCTCTTTCTAAAATTATTTTGGAAAAGATCTTAACTTTGACTTTGCTTCTAAAGAATTAATTTTATTCATATGAACTGACATAAAAGATTTTAACTCATAAATTAATGATTGCTTTGTCAACATCTGATATGTTTAGTTAAACTAAAACCCGCTTCGGGGAACAATAAAATCGTTTAAGACAAATACATCCCAGTAGAATATCAATAACACTTAAGAACTTTGTCACAGTTATACGAAGCTTACATAAACAAGACAAACACACACCTATTACTTAATTACCTGAACACAGCACAACAAATAGAAATTCATGGTTCATTAGCCAAACAAGCGTGGCTTGGTTCCGTCCAGCCCAAGTTAGGAGCTAAATCATAGATGCTGCCGGCGGAACCCTGCCGAGAAACACACGGGTACATGGTCAGTATATGATACGCATTTTATATCAAGTCTTTTCAAAGTTATAATCGAATGAAATTAATGAAATAACATGCCTCAAATTAAATATAATCAAAACTAATTATTTTACTATAATTTTCTTTTATATCATGGAGTTAAGAAGGAAAAATGAATTTTAGATTGAAGAGAATTTCTGTAATCAATAAGAAAGTACAACTGAAAGAAATAGATTTAATAGTTTTCGTACAGTATAATATTTTTGAAGGTGTTTAATATGTAAAAGATCAGAGGTCATTGTGTATCTTTAAAGTGTGTGAGTACAAAATAATGAGTCGTATGTATCTCACAGTCCGCTCACTGACCGTAAGCAGAAACTTATTCTATTGTTCATGAGAGTTGGACACTTTGTCAATTTATGAGGCCGGCACGCCATCGACTCAGGCAGATTTGGTTAATTGAGTTACTGGTATTAAAACCTAATAGCAGATTATACTTAAACATTTATCAAACAGATTGTGAGGAACGCTGAAATAGACGACTATTAAACGAACCACGAAATTACAAGAACATTCCGTATATGACGATCGTTGTATATAAAGCATGAATAAATATAAAAGTATAATGTTCTGTAAGTACACACGTTTGTCCCCCTTAATTGAATCTTGACAGTTTTTCATGAAGTTTCCTTAAGTCCATTAGTGACGTCACAGCGCACCGGCCCGCTTTCCATCAATTTATACGAAATCACCAGAGTGAAGTGTTTTTTAATTAATTTTATGAGTGAGCAACGCCAACGTGTGGGACACGTGGAGTCGAACACTACTTGAAGATTTCTGTAACAAATTGCAATGATAAGAAGTTTTGAAAACAAATGAAATACGGTAGAGAAGTAAAAGCAACGCGTCATCACTTATCAGTCATGGAAAAATTGTAAATATAAGATATAGCAAGATGCAATATTAATATAAGCTATAATTATAGAGGCTTACATCAATATTACTAACAGATGATTATAAATAAATATGTATTAATATATTTAAACGTCAGTTTGTCTTCTCCACGCCACTAATTGTCCGCGTGGTCCACGCACTAATTCAATATGGCCGACGTAAGCCATTTGCGTTCGCGCTTGACGCATCGCCCGTGAAAAAATCAATTACAATTTTTTGATAGAACCGCGTCCAGGTGATTTGTATGGAAGTAGTTCTTTATTTAGATGTATAGTTTTAAATAAAAACATACAAATAATTATCACTTAATTTCTGTTTTCTTTAAAATTTACTTTAATAACATTTGTCATATGCCATATATACGGCTAATTTTATAGTTTAAGAACTTACTAAAGCCGTAGGACCATATACTGGGTATTGTGTGAAAAAAAAAAGTTATATATTATATAAGAATTTGTTTTCATTAAATATTATATATGTTTAATGCAGCCTTCTCCATAGCGGTCCACCAGTGACACCTATGTCCGAGATTTTAGTGAGGCCATTTCATCACAAAGTACCCAAAATTTAATACACAATTGGGATAATATAAAAGATGTCTATATTTTATATGACAACAATTTTTGGGAAAATAAAAACTTTATTATAATAGTTTTTCTGCTACGATAGACATAAATTTATTCAAAAATATGTGTGATGTACTATCAGATGCTGATAGATTTTTCTCATTGACTTTAGCTTCGTGGACAGACTGTAAAAGGTTTGAAAAGCCTTACTATATATCTCTTCAAACACGAACTGTTTCAATGTCTGTAAACAAGAATGATACACTTTTACAAGACATTGTTTAACATCTATGCATTTATTTCTACTAATAGGAGATTGGAGAGTATTCATTTTATACAATCCACTTAATAATATATAAAGTAATTTTCGAATGTAAGCCTCAAATCTAACGATTATCACAGATCACATGTCAATTAATCTTGGTAAATGATTCAAATTTAACGGTTTCCTTACAAATTTAGTATGTAAATAAACTTCAATATTAAGTATAGTATCATAAAAGATATCATTTAAGATGATCAGATGATTATAGCTGACAATAATAAACCTCTCACTTATTACGACACATGATCCATCATTTACCAAGCATACATTAAGGCGGGTAAGGTTTGATGCGCATGCGCAACATTAATATACAATTACCCGTTTAATGTATGAACACGTAATACTTACCGCAGTATCTCAGATTATTGCAACGCTATTAGCAATATGGCAATTTTACTCAGTTTTTTATTTGATTTTATTTTATATTTAAACTCCTTATATAGTTATACAAATTTATTAAGCTCGTAACCCTTAAAGTATAAAATGTAAAAAAACAGTAGCATCATTTAAGATATTTTTAGTTTTTATAATCCGATGATAAAAATAAAATTAAACAGAGGCTATACCTATACCTAATATATGAAATGAAATGAGATGTCTTTTCTGGTAAATTTCATCAATTTTAATTATTTTTTTTAAACATAATGACACCAATGAATACTGTTCTATAAAATATTGTATTAAAATATACATGTATAAATACATATGTAGGTAATAAAATTAGAAATTAAAAATAACAAACCTTATGAATATGAAATTTTAAGACAAAGATACATTTATATCTTTGAGTATAAAATCACGTAACCAGTTTAATATGTTGAAAATTTTGTGCTAATGTGTGTTTTTAAATATTTATTTACAACTATATCTTTTTTCATACATATATACTTTTAGTTTTTTGTAACATCAGAAAGACATATTACTTAATTATGAGTTTTAAGAGTCTGATCCACATTTTTATAAAGTAAAAAGGACTAGCTTGTTCAAGTATACAGATTTTTCTTGTTGTTAACACCAACCTACCTGAAATCTATCTCCACAAACTTTGAGACTACAATATAATACAGTCTTTCTCCCGAAAAAACATTATATCGTATTAAATAAGAATAGCTGTAAATGGACAACATATTATACCCAATTACAATTTTAAACCATAAAAATATAATTATTTTTAATTCACATATGTATTCCAAACATAATGTTTATATTTAACTACCAAAAGTAAAAAATATAACAAATAAAATAAATACAAAACAGCAACGACAAGGTTCATAATAAAAATGTTACACCTTTAAGTAAGTATGTTATAAACACAAATGAAGTTAATTAAAAAAGCACACACATAATAAAGCCACATTTTATTCACGCTGTACTCATAACATAGTCATTACACTGAAAAGTGTGCGCGTAATTATGGCGTAACGAGAACATAAATATGTCAACGCTAATACAGTCCCAGGTGCATCGTACGTCTGATCATACGCGATACGGGAACAGATATACAGTTTGTTAATATACAGCTTTAAAATACTGACCAGCTTTAAGCTATAATCAACGTTCAACTTACAAGCTATATAGCTGACTGACCCTTAGATTTGAACCTCGTCCTTTCGCACATAGATACTCGTATATTTTATGCATTGGCGGAATTCAAAACAATTATTTTTGTACAGTCAAAAAAGATCGTCTGTCTTTCAAACTTGAAGCTGAATAAATTTTGGTACCAAAAACTAGATATATACAAATATTTCATTGAAGACGTTCAGTATTAACATCTAATACCAATATATCAAATGTCCTCTTATCAATTTATAGTCCCTGTATCGAAACTTGTTCAGTTCCCAAGTGCATCTTGAGCAAGTTTGATAATAAATTAAAACGTTATATTTACTGCCAAATGTTCTATACTATCGCATTTACCCAGATACTGACAATGGAAATTAGTTTTCTGTTCAGCTTATTTCATTCCAAGATGAAAAAGTCTAAAATTAATTTAAGAGGACAATGTAGAATGGCATATAAATTCTCATACATAAAATAACTGAATTAAATAAAAAAATATTCTAGTTCCAACCACATAATCATAAATGAATACTAACTATAATATATAATAGTTGCCATAATTAAGGTTTTACGCAAAGATTCTCAGGGAACGGTAACAGGATCCTAGTTGAGGTGAGCTAGTTAGCTGAAAATAAACATCAGAGCATTAGTTTCCTTCACAAACACGAGCAAAATTTGAAGCCATCTCAAATTAATCTAACGCCTAACACACTAATGTAGGATGACCATTCTTCATTAGTACAAAGGAAGTCGCCTTTTGTCTCGCGGCCATTCATTTGTGATTGTTCACTACACCCAAACTCCGCGGTGTTATTCCGAAGG